GACTCACAGAGATCCAGAGGGATTTCTATCTCTGGAATGCTAGGATTAAAGGTGTGAGTGCCACCATTTTCTAGCCTTTGTATTTAGTGGCTGTCTGTTCTCTGACCCCAGATAAATTTATTAGAGTACACAATATTTTGGGGAACACAATACCACCACACACTCCCCTTTTGGGTTTCAAATGAAGCTGGCTATCATGACTCTTGTAGGAACCTTGGAAGCTTTTGCATTGTATTGTACGAGTCAGGCTGCGGGTAGAACTGAGAGCAGTTCCAGAGGAGGAAGGAGAAGGAACCAAGATGGAGAAATGCAGATGAAGATGAGGACAAGGAAAAAAGAGCTTAGTTAGAACTAGGCTAGGACAGGAGGAAAAGGGACAGAGAGGAACAGACTGAGAACAGAATTGAAGCTGTGTAGATAGAATCTTGACTCAGAAAAATAAAGTGAATGGCCTAAGGAGTTTCATGTATATAGATTCATTTAATATTGTCAAAGATTAGGTTATCAGCTGGTCATAGATTCTCCTGGACCCTGGGAGAGGGCTATCAAAGGGCTGGACCCCCGAAGTCCTCCATAGGTAGGTGACCCAAAGGCTAGTTTCTTTGATTCATGAATAAGGAGCTCAGCAGCTGCTAAAGAACATATTCAAGGTGCCTATCCCTGAGTGGTAAGGTCTAGTTTTTTTGACAGCTTTGCTATAGGCACAAAGGAGGGTCCCAGCTGGTGCCCTAGGGTCCCAAGGGCATATCCCTCTTTTTCTGTTTCCTAGAAAGAGAAGGGATGAGTTAGGTCTGGGAAATGATGTGCTAGGACCTGGAGGAGAGCCTGTTGGAGCTTCTGGAAGTGTTTAGTAATGGGGTGAAGGAGAGGTTCATGCAGGGAGCTAAGAACTGCCTCATTTAAGGCATGAGCAAGAAGAGAAAAAGGTGGGAACCAGGATCATAAGAAGCCAGCTATTCCCAGAAATGATGGAATCTCATGTTTAGTAGAGGGAACTGTAAGAGACTGGATTAGATAAAGTAATGGCCTTGTGGGTTGGGGTAATGGTTAGACCTAAATAGGTGACCTGAGGAATGGACAGCTGGACCTTGGAAGGCGAGACTCTATAACCCTGGCTGGACAAGAAATTTAGAAGAACAGAGGTGTTAGTTTGGCTAACTTATAATGATGAGCTGCAGAGTAGAATGCCATCTACATACTTTATGAGTTTAGAGCCAGGGAGAGACAAAGAGAGCAAGTTAGAGGCTAGGGTCTGACCAAATAGGTGTGGGCTGTCTCTGAATCCCTGTGGCAAGACAGTCCAGGTCAGCTGTGTGGAAAGGTGAGTGTCAGGGTCAGTCTAGGTGAAAGTGAAAATATTTTGAGACTGAGGGCTGAGAGGAATAGAGAAGAAAGCATCCATGAGATCCAGAACTGAGAAATGGGAGGTTCTTGAAAGGATAGTGGAAAGGAGTGTATAAGGATTGGGGACCACAGGATAAAGGGGGACCACTGCAGAATTAATGAACCAGAGGTCTTGAACCAGGTAGTAGGTTTAATTAGACTTCTTAACTCTAAGTATAAAAATATGGAATACTTCACAAATTTGCATGTCATCCTTGTGAAGGGGCCATGCTAATCTTCTCTGTATTACTCCAATTTTAGTATATGTGTTAACAAAAAGTAACTTAGAGATGCATGTCTATCTATGTATGTCCTTGCTAACTGCTCAATACTAGACTTCTAGAAAATTTAAATAGTAACAACATATTTTTTTAACTCCTAATATCTACTCAGATTCACAATTGTCTTTGCTAACTGATGCAGGGAGCCGGGACAATCGCCATTATAAGATGGCGCTGACTTCTCTGCATTCTGAAGATTTATTACTCCTAAGACAATGCTTTCAATGAAATACACGCCTCTGCTTTGCATATGCACAAGTTATATTGGCCCCTCACCAATCCTGTCGTGCCTGGTGGCCGCAGGCTAAGTTCAGCCAGCGATTCGCGCCTCTTTTCCCTATATAAAGCAGCCGCTTTCACTGCTCCCTCCCCTCGCTTCCACCTCTCCTTTAACCAAAGGCTCTCCAATAAAGTGTGATCGGGAAGAATCTTTGTGTGGCGGTCTTTCTTCCTTGCTGGTCGAGAGGAGCACGCCGCAAACTGAGTCATACAAAAAACTGATATTTTGTAATGGTGTGCTAAAAAGGATCTGAAAAGACACATTTCCCAGTCTCTCTGTGAACTGTATTTATGGTTTTGTAAAGTTCCCAACCTACCTATGGGCTGCATTTATGGTTTAATGTTTTATTTTGATGTTAAAAGATCTTAATTAACTCTTCAACTTAAATTTTTAAGGCTCAAACTTGACAGCTATATAATCCAAATCTTATTTTAAAAAAAACTACTAACTTGTAAGCTGCTATGTAATTCATTTAGTGACAAGCTTTATTCAGCTCCTGTATGTGTTTTCAAGGTTAAGCCTAAAGCAAGTAACTAAAATCAAATAAAGTTTGTTAGCTCAGATGTACTTAAGAGATGGTCCTCAAACTCTTCCTTCAGATATTTGCTAAATCCAAAATGTTTAATAAAAAAAGCTCATGCCAGGCAGTGGTAGTGTACTCCTTTAATCCCAGTACTCAAGAGGCAGAGGCAGGTGGATGTCTGTGAGTTCAAGGGTAGCCTGGTCTACAGAGTGAGTCCAGGACAGGCTCCAAAGCTACACAGAGAAACACTGTCTCAAAAACTCACCCCACCAAAAAAAAAAAAGGCTCACCACGATAGACAGAAATGCCAACTCCTAGTGGCAACCCTGAAAGTCTCCAAAGAAGACAGAGGGGACATGATAACTCACCTGGATTGTGGTAATACTGGCCACTGGGCAAAACTGTCCCATGCCTCATCTACCACCAGGACTCTGCAGAAACTGTGGATACTGTTGGATTAACTGCCATACTCTGCCTAAGTCAAGGTAGACCAATCTTCCCAAGTACCTCAACCGCAAGAAAATCTCTCAGACCTTCTGAGCCTGGCAGCCAAAGGCAGATGCTGCCCTGTGTGGTACCTGAAGATGTAATGCTATCCAGTATGACAGCCAAAGACTATTTCTGTCTCTAATGAAGCCATTAAGACCACAGGAGCCTAAGGTAACTACCTGGATAGTGGGTAAGTCTCTGTCATTTAAGGTGCTGTATATTTGCCATTTAGATTACACTTTCTGCTTCTCAGATCTCTGATAGCATTGAAGGCTAGGCTAACTGTAGCTTTGTCATTTTAACAGCAGCAAGCATACCAACTCATTCTGGAAGCCTATGGCTGCCTTGTCAGTTAATTCCATATGTCAATCAAGCCTCACTTTTCTAGAGCTGCTTGGTCTCCTGCTGAGAAAGGCAGGCCCAGACAGTCTGCCTTGGTGCCAGACTTCACACTGATGAAGACAAACTCATAAAACAGGTTTCAAAGTATCTTTCTAATGTTCCTTTAAATGGTGTATCAAGGTAAATAATTGGTTAGAAAAAAGTTTTAAAGATTATGTAAGTTCTGAGAGTCTAAGAAAGTGTTCTAAGTTATGTAAATGCAAGTTGTAAAGGCTTAAGGAAATGATTTAAGATATATAAGAAATAAAAATGTTTCAGACTTCTTCCCTTTCTATGCTATTGTTATACCAAGACTTCAAAGTTCAGAGTTATAACATTAACCACTGGAGTTCTGATAAGCTGTTAATCTAGCCCTAATAAAGCACTAATTACAAAATACTCACAAGCTTAAAATTTTAAATATCCTGTGGTTGTATTCTAAGTATAGACTTGAAAATGCTTCTCCAAAAAGTTTATTTAAGATTCAAGGAGTTGCCTTGGATCCATCTCTCACAGTTCAAATGGACTCCAGATAAGTACTCTTGTCAACAGCCCAAGTTTTTCCACCTGCCTATTCCTGAGGGTGGGATCTCTCCCCTTTTCCCTGGTCTTCTTTTCCAACTACCAGGACCAGAAGTTTCAAGTGTATACTCGATAAAAACTTTCTCCTAAAGCTCCATAACTTTACCTTCTGTTCCTAGTCTATATCTGTCCCAGCAGGTTTCCAATCAACTGAAGACTGCAAACTGCTCCAAATGTGCCAGCCCTAGATGCTTCTGAAGGAATGTCCCACTTGAGTCTCTGCATTCCAAAATACTCCAAAGTGGCTAGCCCCAGGTGGTCCTGCAGAATCTGGGCAGCAAGCAGTGATCAAAACAGATGTCCCACAGCCCATCCTTTGATCCATCCAGTAATCATCATTCCAGCTTTCCTGGGCCCCCATTAATGACAACCCAATTTCATCTGGAAATAATTATAAAAAAGACTACATTGCCCTTTTACCATCAACAAAAAGGCTAGGATGTTAGGTTTCAAACTCAGGACAAATGGCTTAGGTGCCTATTTAATATATCAAAGCAAACTCTGGTCACCAGTTTCCCTCAGTCCCTACCTATTACAGAATCATCCTGGCTGGCATACCCTACCCCTTACCCTCAGCCTGTCTAGTCTCTGATATTCACTTCCAATCCCCCAGTTGCTCTTCCCTATAAAACCCAGTCTTTTTGGTTGCTCGGTCCTTTTACCTCTTTGACTCTTGACCACTACTCTTGGTTCCTGCTCTACTGGCCTCTTGACTTCAACCTCTCTTCTCTCTCCTCCCCACTATCCTCACATGGTCTGGTTCAGTTGGCCAGTCATGTTTAGTCTGGACCATTCCAGATGCCTCTGATTATGTTCTCCCTCGTGTCTACAACAAACCTTCTCCTCCTCAACCCCTTAGTAGCAGTCATGTCCTCCTTTTATTTCTTCTTTTCCTACATTCCCTGGTATGAATAATTACTTTAAATTGAACTTCTCCTAATGTTAAGGCAGTGACTCTCCAACAAGTGGAGGCTTTACATAATGAAAACATATTAAGCACTAAGATAAATGTATTTATTATTTTTAAATATTTTACCTAGTAAAAAAAACAAAGAATATTACAAGCAGATTAATATTTAAGAAAACTTTACGGCTGTAAACAGAAAGTTAGACTTCAATTTTATCTTTCAATGTTGAATTTTGACCTTAGGAATTTTAATAACTTTTAAATTTTCAAACCAACCTACTTATGATCAGTATAATGAGAAAGAAGCATTGAGAGCAGGAATCCACCAAAGGCTCCAACTTATGAAAATATGAATTCATTTAAAGAAAATTGCCAAAGCCCAAAATGCCAAAGAGATTCCCTGATCCTGGAAAGCAACTGCCCAAGGAAAATTTTCCTAGCAAAAGCAGACAGAAACTGCAATGTCTGTGGTCCAGGGGGGCCAGGATCCATCTCAAGATGGCAGAACTTGATGAAATCTTCTATACTGTATTAGTTTTAGATTTGAAAGGTAGAAGATGATAGGTTATGAAGTTTTATTCCATGGTTATAGAGAGCTGTTGAAGACAGGCTATGTACAGCATGTCCCTACAGAATCCCTACAATGAGACCCTGAGAGGCCATTGTATGAAGTTGTGAAGGTGAAACTTGGATTGTAATAGGAACTTCAAGATGTTGGAAATTCCAGAGCTGTAGAATGTCTGCCAAAGGGGGCTGTGTACAGAGATTGGAAGCAGGCCAAGAGAGAGGCCAGATATGGCATAGGCAGCAAAGCTGGGAAATGAGATTGCCTAATCTCTTTGGAATTGAGTTGATTCCATCATATGCCCCAGGTCCTAGACATGAAGATACAAGATCTGTTGTTTTCCATGTAAGTTTTAGTTTTGCTTTGGTTCAAGCATGCCCCACAATGCCTCCCACTGCTATTTGAAATGGGAATGTTTACTCTATGTCAGTGTGTGCTGAGGGTGTATAATATGTTTTAAATTATTTTAGAAAATTACAATTAAGAGATTGCCTTGAGTTAAAAAAAGGCTTTGAACTTTAAACTTTGGAACAACATTGATGTTATTAAAGGATATGGGAACTTTTAAAGTTGGACTAGATGAATTTTGCATCATGAAATGGCCATGAGTCTACGAGGACCAGGGGAGAGATATTAGTTTGAATGTGAAATATTCCCCATAGGATCATGTGATTGGTCCCAGTTGGTGGCACTGTATGGGAAGGTTATGGAACCTTTAGGAGGTGGAGCCTTACTGGAGAAAGTACATCACCAGGGCTGAGCCTTTAGCTTTTATAGCCCTACTCCACTATTTGCTTTGCTCCTGCTTCTTGGCTGCCAATGTCCTGAATGGCCCTGATGCCATGCCTTCTTTGTCATGGACTGTATCTCTTTGGAACTGAGTCAGAATAAGCCCCCTTTCCCTTAAGTTGCTTTTGTTAGGATATTTTTATAACAGCAATGGGAAAAAGACACTAAGAAAATGTGCTTCTTGGTTTATTGTCATTTTGACACTGTAGTGTAAAAGGGGGCAGTGAAAGAACCCCCTGCCCATAACCAACTCAGAAATTGAAATCCAACCAGTCTCTGAGCATGAAAATCAACCAACCCCAGAGCACAAAACAAACCAATCCCTGAGCACAACTGAGCATCAAACTCACTCCCCCAACAATGTTGTGATTTGAAGGTGTCCTTCAGTGTTAACTGAATCACAAATTTAGTATCTTACACAACAATGTACAGAGGCAGAATTTTAAGAAGTGATAAATTCATGAAGGTTCTGCCTTCAAGAACAGAT